GGGGGGGGGGGGGGGGGGGGCAATTGTCCCTTCTGTTCACAAAAGAAAAAAAATATTTTATAATATGTTTATATTTTGTGTATGTTTTTAATTTAAGCACCCTCTCCTTACACATGCGCAGGATTGTCGTGTTCTCTTGCTGGACGGGTACACTATAGTACAATACACATTTCACAGTAATGTATCGGCCATGATAGAAATAACACGTTCAAAATAATACATATTGGTACGGTCCAACAAATATTGAAGACAGGTATAAAAATTAAAAATGTAACTAAGAAATAAAGGTAATAATAATTTCATAGTTTGAATTTAATTAATACAGCTGTTAATATATGCCCAGGGAGCCACGGAGCCCCTAGTCCCTACTCCCTAGACTACTCTCGCGGAGCACTGTTTGAGAACCGCTGAATTATACTATGTACCATAGGCGTGCGCAGACTCCGGTTTCAGGGGCAGCAAGAGATTAATTCGGCCCATTCTTCAAATTCACCATTAAACCCAGCCCATAGTTTTACTATTTTTGCTATTGGGTATCAAAATTAAAGTTGTATTGATTATTTGTTAATTTGGATAAACCGTTGTACAGTTTTTATAATAGACAGGTTTATTAGTTTTATACTGATAAATTCTATAATCATAAAATATTCATATCTATACTTGACCAAAAAAAAAAAAATCATTTGTGGAAATATAATTTTACCGAGGCCCATTATTTAATATTTTCCGGCCCCCGTAGCCCCAAATAAAGTCCAGGGGCAGCATACGCCGCCTCTGCTGCCCCCGTGCGCACGCCTATGCTATGTGCCTACCTACATTAAATTCAAAATAACAGGTAGTTGTATAACCTAACCCAACCAATGTCAATGTGGCTATGTATTATAATTAATAGTCGGTAATTAAAAAGTAAAATTATTATAAGTAGCTAGTGCCTAGTATGTAGGTAGATACCTACCTATATAGATTATTTACGAGTGTGAAGTTAGCAATTGGCTCAAGACAAAAATTATCGGGGCTCAATAATAGTTTGATTCGTTAAATCTTAAATGGAGATAAAATTACTCATAAGTAACAGTGAAGGTCATATAGTTCCCGCAAAATATTATTTTAGAGGCTATCTCATACCGATATGTTGAGCGTCGAAAAGCCTTAACGAGAATTAGAACCTCGAGTCCTCAAACCCTAAAGTAAAGGTAGCAACACCAAACACGTAAGCTTGCAAAATATTAAAATTTAGAAGTATAAAGTAAAAGTGAGGAAATTTCATCACACTCACAGGATAAAATATAAGAATAAATATTCTGAGGTTTCGCTTTATAGTTTATATTACTATCAAGTAACAACTATGAACAGTATGAACTAACAAGACAGTGTCAAGTGGTAACTATTGTAAGTACCAAGTTCTTAAAAGATAGGTTCTAAGAGCGTGGTAAGTACTATTAACGATTAACCTGAGCTGGCTAAAGATATACCAATTACATCACCGGGCAACGTTGAGCACGCTTTGTCGCTTTGTAGTTCATTTACATCGAGAAATCGGTGTTTCAATAACAAAATAAGTTGCTCAACAGCTTGGCAATTCTGCATTTTGTTTGGACACGTCGGCCTTGGAAATGTGGCAACACTGCTCGCTATTGATATTTTCTTTTCTCCATCATGTAAATTTGTAAAAAATTACATTTTTTATTTTTTTAATTGATATACATATATATTATCATGTATATGTTATATTATGTATAGTATTTAATAAATATTAGTTTTAGTGTGTAGGTCTTAAGCAATTGTAATTTGTTATTTATATTTTGTATTATTATTCGGAAACGGCTTTGATGATTTCTTAATTCGACACCGTTCTATCGTCGCCCGACACAGTCCATTCTGTGGCCGTTACGGCCATAATCACTGGACTATTCTTCCTCATCTCCATAAAGGTAAAGTTAATTATTTCATTTTTTTTCGTTACACAGGAAATGTATAAAAATAATTTGTTCCGTTTTCATCTGCCGAATTGATACTAAATATTCTATCTGTTTTGAACTATCTCTTTCCTGTTGCTGCAAACGCAAACCTGAATAATTGTTTGCTGTACTGAGGTGAATACTGATCATAGGCAGTAGATAAACCTAGATTTTGTCTATAATATTTCCCAGTTAAATACGAGTCAATCAAAATAATTAGTGGTTTGGTAGTTACCTATTTTCAGTGGAATTGGTTTGGTCGATTGAATTATAGAAATATTCCATTCAATTTATATAATTTTATCCTGAAATTTATAAATCTATGTACTTATCTATACATTTTTGATATTTTTATTATACTATAATTATATGCAAGTGTACTACACAATAAAGTGCTAATACATTAGAATATCTGTGACAATTTTTATTTATAAATTAGTCTATTAGATTGTGTACTTCACTGTTTGTTAATAATTAGCAATTTGATCATAAAAATTATTTTGTATACTGTTATTATATTTTTAATATTAATTATTTTATCGGTTTATTATAGACTGAAAATCGTGTTGAAAAAATATGAATCAATCATGTTGTCCAGTTTGCACATTGTACTTACGCCCAGGAATATCGCTAACTGTCCACTTGCATACGCATCCCAAAAAACAAGTCATCAAAGCTCTGTTGTCCCTAACCAATCAAGCATCTCCTTCCAAATCAGACCAAGAAAACCTTTCAGATGACAGTAGCTCCTCTTCTGATTCATCAGACTCAGGTGGATACACTTTTATTATACCAGATAGAAGTAATAGTGAGAACAAAAGTACTATAAATATATCAGAGCCGGTTAATGAAGCGGGGAGAACTAACTTCAATATATCTGAGGCTGTTAATTCTGGGCCTAATAATGCGGACAGAAATAGCCCTAACAACTGTCCATCACCTAAAAGCCAAAACAGTCAAGCACTTTCTGAACTACGAGATGCCCTTGAGGATAGTCCAGAGGATGACAACATTGATATCGAAGATAACAATATTACTTTTGAGGATGACTATCCACCAGAATTTGAAGAAGACCAACAAGATTGCAGTACTGGTTTTCAAGGAGAATCAAATGAATCAACTCAACATCATGAAGTGTCAGAAGAAACAGGCTCATCTGTGGCTGGTCACTTTAATGATCCATTTCAATCAAATGGTAATCTACTTGAAAATGAAGAGTATATGTCACATTATTTTTACTCAAGTGAAAATGCTCGTATATCACATACTGATCCAGATCCACAACTTAACCCTCCTCAGTATAGTACTCTTACTACAATGGAATTACACCCAGAATATTTATCCTCAAACCATCAAGAACATAATTTAACTCTAGATATCCAAACTGATGAACTTATGCCAGCTCATGGAGAATTATCTGGTCAAGAGAGTTTAGAGCCCCCTGAACCAATACTTGCATCTATATGGACAATGAAAAGTAGCGATAATATTCTGCCTCATACGAGTACTGCTTGGGATGATACTGTACACGAAGTTAGTACTGCTGCTAGAAATTTAATGTGTTTAAAGAACAGAGAAGAAATCCCTAAAGAAGATAATAAAGAAATAATAGAGAAAAAAGAAGTGAAACCACTTATAGGAAAATTTGTTTGTCCTTATTGCAAATTAAAGTTCAATGATGTAAAATCTCGTAAAACACATATCAATGAAGAGCACAGAAATGAAGAAGGCGTGAAAAAAGGTTTGATGTACATAAAACCATTTTCTACTAAAATAGAGACTGATTTGGAAGAATCAGCTCAACCTACTACCCTAAAAGTGGAATGCGGCATTTGTGATCAACCTTTCGAAAATTATACACAAATGACATTGCATTTTATTGATACTCACAAAGGTACCAATTATATTTTATTATATTACTTACATTAAGTTCCATGGGACAAAACTAAATCTTCACAAATAACATAAAATACAATGATTGGAATTTACCTAACAAATACTTTTAATTATATTTTAATACTCACTATATTGATTTAAAAAAAAATCTGCTTATTAAGAATCAACAATTTAAGGTCACTTTAAAATAATATTTTAGCTTAATAGCATAAATACAGTACTTTTCATATACTCAATAGTATGACAGGGGCGGCCAAACGGTCTATCGCAGGCAGTTTCAAAATCAATCCCCCTTCAAATTTTTTATACATTTATTAATAACCCCTCATCCCCCTAATACATCCCAGTTATCTCAGTTGACAATAAATGTTTATATTTTTATGACTCCTTAAAGGAAGGAAAAGTATATTCATAGTAAATGTTTATCAAAAAAGTTTGGCCACTTTTGCTATGTATGTATGTATGTATATTAACACTTATTAAATATCATTGTCTTAAATTGTAAATAATTATTATATTGATTATCATTTTATTACACAATATTATATATTTTTCATATTTAATCATAATCAATATGGTTAAAACAAAACAACAAAATCATTCTAATAAACTATGTTATTAATTTTATTTTGTAATTATTTTTCCAGATAAGAATAATTTATGTCCAACATGTAACGTAGTATTTCCTATGATAACAGAATTTCGAGAACATATTCTAAATGTTCATCCATTGACATGTAGTTTCTGTTCAAGGAAATTTCACTCTCAATTCAATTTAACCACTCATTTGAAACGTCACCTTCAAATTAAGCCATTCGTATGTGAACAATGTCATAAATGTTTTGCCAGTCGTACTAAACTTCAAGATCACATGAATGGTCATCTCAATATAAAACCATACATTTGTTCTATGTGTGATCAAGCTTTTAGTTGCAAATCAAATTTAAATAGTCATATTCGTAAACTACATCAGAATAATGGAACTGCAAAAGATTTTTATTGCCATTGTGGAGAGGTGAGTAAAGAAAAACAAGGGAAAAACAAATAAATAAAATCATTTATATTCCGCTAACATTGCTTATAATTTCATGTTTTAGGTATTTCACTCATTAAAAAAGCTTGCATGGCACAAGGAAACTCATGAAGATAAACCTAAACAATGCCCCTGGTGTTCAGAACGTTTTGTGCACTTAACATCTTTAACTAGGCATATACGGTGTTCACATGATGCCTCATATTTGCCTACTAAAGATCGTGATGTTGAAAACATGAGCTGTCATTTATGTAATAATACATTTTTGCGTAAATCTTTTGCTACCCATATGCTTATTCACAAAGATTTAAGACCTTATTCTTGCAATATATGCAACCGATCATTTCGAACCAAATGGAATTTAAGAATGCATCAGTGGACTCATATGTCACGAACGCACAAACCTTATAAATGTACCCAGTGCAAAAGTGCATTTTATCTCAAACATGAATGGGAAGCTCATGTTCGTGCTCACAATGGTATTCGTCCATTTACATGTAATGAATGTGGAAAACAATTTATCAGGAAAAAACATTGTATGAGACATATGGCCGAACATAAGGAAGGCAATCGTTCATATGAATGCAAGGAATGTGGCAAAAAGTGAGTAAAATTAAAACTAAAATATTACATCCCATACATTTAAGAGGATGTTGTACCTGCATGTGTGGTATCTGTCTTACACACGTAGGACATACCAAATTTTCGTTCTTCAGATTCAATAGTGTGCTGTTAGTTTTGATATTAAAGTGAATTTAAAGGCAAGATTATTATCTAGAGCCCCTTGTAGGCTTTTATTGATGTTACTATTTTTAAGTAAGGTACGACGTCCTCTTAATGATATTTATTATGCTGTTAAATATTTTCACTTATACACAAATATAGCTGGATATACTCAATTAATAACGCTCTTCCTCTAATAATATTCTCATGTTGTTTTAACAACTGTGAACAAACATAGGGTATCTTGTCGTTTGTGCTCTACCGTATTTTACCAATCAACAACTATATTTAGATTTTAGAAAATTTATCCTCTTAATAAGTTGATGATGTAAAAGTTGTTTTAATGACAAACTAAAGATATTTTAAATAAATAATAGGTAGGTATATTTTTAAAAATGATTATCAATACGTTGTCATCATAGTCTCGTTATTTGTTTCATTTTCATTCATAATTATAAATATTAAAATACTTGTTCCATGTTCTTTAGTAATGCGTTAAATGTGTCACTTTCTGGGGATGTGCCAAACCTTCCCAAATCCGCACTATCCAAGCTTCCCAGTCCATCACGCTCCGACTAATAGCCTCGGCCCCATGGTACGTAACAAATGAAACCCTACACAATGATTTAAGAATTCCAACAGTTGACCAACTATTTAAATTATACTATAATAGATTTCACTCCAAATTGCAACACCATCCCAATCCTTTAGTCACTCACCTAGCATCACATACTCTTCCAGACAACCCACGTCGCCAACTTAAAAGAAATTGGTGCCGTGACCTATTAAATTAATGAACAAAAAATAAATAAATTACTAGAGGGTACCATCACTGGATGATTTCCCTCATCATGTGCCTCATGTGTATTTTATATGTATATAGTGTTATATCAATTATCTATTTTACTTATTGTGTCATGTAACACAGATTGTAAATTTTCTAAAAAAAAAATAAAAAATAAAAAAAAAATAAAAAAATGTGTCACTTATATTCATACCTTTCCACCACTTTTCAATAAGATTATTATTATTATTATTGTATGCTATGATATGCAAGCGTACAGACTAGGTACAGTTATATGATTAACAAAACAATGTAAGTCTTAAAATGAATGCCAAAGGTAACTTTTCATATTGTCATCAATTGTTGTCAATGTATGACCAAAAACTATTGTTCTTTCTAAATCATAGTTTATTAATTAGGTTAGGCTAGGCTATGTTAGGTTATTATTAATATTATATCTGAACTATTCATTAACACCTATATTTCCTTCCTTAGACTTTAAGTGGTTTGACATCCTTTCCTTTTACACCTCAAAAATGTCCTTTCTTTTTCGCGATCTTTTTTTATGTAATATTTCATTTCACTACCACATTTGTTGCACAATATATTTTCTACATTTACCAAAAGATTAGCAACCTGTTCTTCGTTTTGTATAATATTGGAAAATTCTTCTATAAACATTTTGAAACTTAATTTGTAAGTATAATACCGTGTGTGAACCCAAGTATTATCACCCAATGACTAAATATACAATCAAAAATTATATCATATATGAAAAGAGGGTGCTAATTTGTATTATCATTAAGTCACGATAATAAAAATTTAAATTGTGTAGTAAAGCGCATATGAAGAACACACATATTATTGTTTTAGTAGTAAAAAATATTTATTTTTAAATTTTAAATTTTTAACTAATTGTTTGCAATTGTGTTTTTAGGTTCCATCGTAGTTATTATCTGACAGATCACTTAAAGACACACACTGGTCAAAAGCCTCATACATGTCATATATGCGGAAAAACAACTAGTTCTAAGTCAAATCACAACAAACATGTCCGTACACACCATGCAAGAGAATCAATAAACACTGAAGGTTGATTGAAGTGGGTTTAAGCTTCATTAATAATAAAAAAATAATGGTTTCAATATTTAGACTAAACGAATAATTTTTTAACTAAATTTGTACTCGTAGATTCTTAATTTTTTTTTAATTGGCTGGTCCAATAAAATAGTGATTTTAATATATTTTGATAATATATCTGAATTTTTATATTTTTATTTATTTGTTTATTATCGATATTGTAGACATAATGTATATTATTAAATAACTTTTGCAATTATAAATATCAATAATTTTAACCATCAGTTTAAGTATTTACCATCTTTTTTAATTAATTCTTTATTTTAACTATTTGAAATGTTATTACCAACTTGACTTTAATAGTGATTTAAATTGTACTTGACTGGGTTCTAGCAATTTTTGTGAACAAATGTGTAATGTGTTTGTATATAATAAGTATGTGTATGTCTTTCGATTGTGTACTATTAATCAAAGCACTTGTGTTAAATTATTTACCTTAAGTATTTTTAGTTTTCTCTAGGTACCTACGCAATATATTTATTAAGTTTAGCATGGTAAACATATTTTTTTTTATTTATGAGATAATATTGATGTTATTTTACAACTTTTGTTTTTATAAATTGTGGATATAATTTTTTAAACTAAAATAATATATCCAATGTGTCTTACTTGGAAATAAAATTATGTTGCTATTTTCAATTTCTTGCTAATAGATGTACGTACAAATAATGTAAATAATTTATGATTTTTCATATTTTCCTTAAAAATACTGAAATATAAAATTAAAATGTTTTCTATATTTAATTTATATTTATGTTGAAATATGAAGCATGTTTCTTATCTATTTCAAACCTAAATTTACGAAATAAGAATATTATTTTTGTAGCCATAGTTTTAAAAATATATGTTCACCAAAATTATTTATTTAATTGAATATAGTAAAAACATTTTAATTTTATGACAAAAAAATATATTTTAGGTACATTTTTGGAAAAATTGTAAAATAATGTTATGAGTTACAGTTAAGTTTTTAGTAACCTATTCATTGTTTATTATGGTTTTATAATTCATTTGATTAATAGTATTCATCTATTAATTTAGAGGATACATTTTTTATAATGCAATTTAGTAGTTTTTAAGTTTGGTTCTTTTGCAGTAGAAAATGTTTAAGTTCTAAGAATGTCAAAATAATTTATAATATAAATAATTATTATATTATATTATTTTTAAAATATTAATATGGTTTTTGTTTCTCTATTTTAATAAATTAACTACTTGCAGTGAAGTAATTGTTAAAATTGATGAAAACTCAAACATTTATACTGTAAAATAGCATTTCTCAACCTGTGGTATGTGAAAAGCACATAGGTAGTATATGCTAAGAATATCTCCTCTATAAAAAAAAATGGAATGGAGTACACATCAAATATTATTTTGTTGCATTAAGTGCTTATATTGTCATGATTTTGTTTTCTGTGGAATAAAATTTGATACATGTAAGATGTAACATTATGTATACATTTTTGATAGGCCAAAAAAAAGGCTATTTTCTAAGGACAAAGTAATGCGAGTTTTACATGAAAATGTTCAAACTGTGTAGGTGGTGTGTGCATACAAACAGGTTGAGAATTGCTGCTGTAGAACATTTAATTAATAATTAAAAAATTTCAAACTAAATTGTAATTGTTTTAAAAAGGTATCGCAACTTATTTTGACCATTTTTAAATAGTACCTATGCTTCCCTGGGCGTCCTTAGGATTTGCGAGGCCCAGGGCAAAAATACTTTTAAAATCTTTTAGGTAGGTATATATTTATATCTATGATTTATCTATAAATATATAATGTCATCAATAATTCTTTACACACAATAAATTTGGTAGGTACCTCCCTAATTATAATTTAAAATAAGGGGTTTTTTTATATGACATTATAATCTTGCTTGGTAAAGAAAATAAAACATTTTTACAGTAGACTCAAATAACATGTTTTTCATTTTTTCCTATATTATATAATATATTAATCGTCACTTATTGATATTTATACAAATTTGCATTTTAATAAAACAACAATAAACAGACGAATTAAAATACTAAAAAATATAGTAAAATCATTTTATTCATCAAAAATTAATTTTTCTGGCTTTTAATTCTGCGAACTTTTCAATAGTATCGTTATTAGTTATAGTCTACATTTTCACACAAATCAGGTTCAATTGAAATAATTGCTAAATCAGAAAGTCGATCTTGCACCATTGTTGTTCTCAAATAATTCTTAATAATTTTTAACTTCGAGAAACTTCTCTCAGCGCTTGCAGTGGTTATTGAAAGAGTTAATAATATTCTTAACGCGATAGAAATATTTGGAAATGAATCACATGTTGATAATAATATTACCCCTAGCGTAAGTTGAAAAATTATGGATCTCCTCAAAAGCCAATGGCTGAGCTAGAGGAGAGAGTTCACAAGGTAATAATAAGTTAGATACAAATTTTAAGTATAAAATAAAATAATCAGATAACAAATCGTCTTAATAAAACTAAACAAAGCAAACTTACGAAAACAAAGTATTAATATAATTTTTATAAATTGAGAAATGTTTAAAGTTATTTACATTTAAATCGTGATCACAGCAAAATTGTATAAACTTGTATTGAGGACATTGCTGTCCAAAAACTATTCTAATTTTAGGAACAATGCCATTATATTTCGCTTTAAGTCAAGTGTCGATGAGTAGAATAATTATGGCTTGAAACAGCAATGTCATCCTTATAATTATACACAAGTAAACAAATATTTTTAAGATATAGACATTTTAAATTTAATATATTTAATTCTCTATATAATTTCAAGGTTTGATGCACGTGGGGCATATTAAAAATGAATTTGACTAGTTAATTTAGCGTTACTTCAAGAGTCAAGACGCTCGATAAGTTTGTTCAAAATTCTACAAAATATTTTTAACTCGTCAAAAAGTTCAATTCCATTTAAATCGCAATTTTTACAGTCCACTTATAATATTTCTAAATCCATACAATGCTTCCGTGAAGTTTTATCTTCAAATCACTTCAAATTTTCAATATTATATAAAAATCCAAAGTTTTCTGAATGACGAGATAATTGCTCGAATCGTTAAAACTTTAAAAAATTAAACATCTTTTTTTCGCTTATTTAAGGTAAGAGAGCAGGTAGGACTTTTGACTTTGAAATAATGTCGTAATTGATGCAGTTATAGATATTTGATAATGTTACCGCCGACGGTGATAAACCATAAACGATTATGCTATTATTAAATGTAAAAACAATCAAAATTATTTTTAACACATTTAAATGTTTCAGTATGTTTGATACTTTGATATACATATCACTTTTTTAATGGCCTTTTATAATTATCAATAGACTTAAGAGTAAATAACAAACGTGTCAATTCTACATCCAAGTATGGAAAATCATTTTTTAAATCTTCCACAACACTTATTAAGTTGGAATTTGTTGACCCCTGGGCTGTAATTGCTTCGTTCATTTTTAGTTCACTTTTTATCAGCAAACGGTATTTTTCTTTTCTTACATCATCCAAGAATTTAATATGATTTTGCTTGTAGTTTAATTTATAAAATTCCTAGAAAAATAGTGGATGCATCAATAGGATTGTTATTGAACGATCAAAAATAGCTTTTATCGATTAGGCATTAAATGAAAAACAAAAATATTTGGGGTCGAGTGAATAACGCGTCGGTTGCAACGCTCACCGTCGCCGGTTCGAACCTCGGTCAAAGGCGGCGGCCCTTCTCTCCGGGCAGTCACGGTGTCCGGAGAGAGTGGCCGCCAATCCCCACCTGGCCATGGGAAAATTTAGTACACAAAGCTAATATAACTCAAAAACTCTACTCGTTCAAATGTTGATTTAGATACATCGAGATTCTCAAAAAAATACCTGCTGAATAATCAAAAGTGAATAAGGAGTGTTTATTTTTGAAAAACAGAATTATGTTTTGTCATAGCATCATCCTGAAGCGGTAAAAAAATTATCAAATATTTTCAAAAAATATGCAGGTCACCAAATGTGATTAAAATTTTCATAAATCCGGGTTCGAATATATGTATGATTTAAACATACAATTAAGGTAAGTAATGAGCATACTTAAAAAATCCCCCTGTATATATAGTACATACTTAAATTGGCTAAATTTAAATTAGGTCTTATTTAAAGCGCAAAACAATAAAATTAGTACGGGATATTCACTATCGCAATGAGGCTATAGGAGGAGGAGGGGCTTACTAAGATACCCCGATTCAACATTTTATTACACAGTAGTCAGTACTCAGTAATTTTTAGAAAATTATATTAGAGGGCGACTATTTACTGAATGACTAATCTTAGAATTACTAGGAATGGAAATTTTGATAGTAATATACAAACTTTAAGTTTTAAAGCATTCATATCTTCAATAGTTTTTGTTAAATCATTAGTATTTTGTTCAACGTTTATAAATTTATCTCGTAAATGTGTAAGTTTACACTCCAATTCCATTTTCTGATTTTGTGCAACACTTATATCTTTGTCAATTTTTTTACATTTCTGTAACGTCCATTTAAAATATATAAATATAATTTTTTTTTCTTTTTTTGATTTATGTATGATATAATTTTTGTTTTGGGTAAAAAGCTTGGCAATTTAAAACAAAGTTTTTCCATACTTTTTTCATACTTACTAATTAAAAAAACCCCCAAAAATAAAATGGCTCATTAATTTCTTATAAGCGTTTAAGTTCAAATTTGTAAAAATTCTTTAAAATTACCAAAATTCAAAAATTATTTTGAGTATAAAATGTATAACCTTTTTTAATATTCATACCTTAAGTTTTCTTACAATAATTAATAGAACAGTTTTACGTGATTCCACAAATAATTTTTTATGAATATTCGTGGGGACATGGAATGTTTAAGTAGGTGTATTATTATATTTGAATATACAGTATACCTACACAATTACATTTCAAAAATGCTGTCCATCTATAGTTTTTACCGTATTACTAATGTAGTAGTATAAATTACTACAATAGCAATTAACATTATAAGTATAATATAGACAGTAGAAACGTACCTATAAGCTATACAATGAATTATCATGGAATTTAAATGGAAGTATATATAGTTAATACTCGACTTCTACATGCGTACTGCAGCAGTGCGGTTACCAACTTTATTCTATTAACAATTTTGGTTGGTAGGTATCAAAATAAGACCTGTCATTAAATTAATTTATGTTTATCCAATTCCTATGTCCTATTATAGTCTATACTGTTTAAGTTGAGGCCGACGGGAAAATGGACACACGATAAATGTTGTATAGATATTTAAATCAGGGCGGAACTCTTTTCGCCCAAAAATGACCTTTCGCTTTTTGCCCAAATATTTTAAAACTACTTTCCCTTTTCGCCCAAGAATATTATAGCACTTTTTTATCACATTTTAATAATCCACGATTTGGGAAACCCTTACTTGAAGCCATTTAGCATTACCCGGAGAGTAGGTACCACGAGGAGGCGGCTTTTATTGCTCTTAAAAAATTGAAAATAAAAACGTTTAAAAAATTGGTTTTAATATTGTATTTATAATTGCGTCAAAATTGTGTCAATAACAAAAGAGAATGGTTTTGTGTTAAGAATACTTTAAGTTCAAAAAAATTTAATATAAAAAATATAAATCGTCAAAATATAAGAATCAAATTTATAATTTATAATAATTAAATGCCATTGATTTCATAAAATCATATAGATTGATTGTTTTTGTTTTATATTGTTGTGTTGTTTGCTCATTTTTTCACTGTTGGTCTATTTTTTTTTTATATTTTGGACAAGCTTGTAAACGAACACAGTTTAATTTAATGTAGACCTCAGTTTGAATTTCATTTATAACATTCAACCAGGCACAAACCATTGTAGACATATACTGGACATAAATAATTTCAAATAAGTATTTCCCAAATTGTGTGTTATATAAATGTGATCAAAAAGTACTATAATATTTTTAAAAGGGAAAGTAGTTTTAAAATATTTGGGCGATTAGCGAAAGGTCATTTTTGGGCGAACGGGGTCTTGCCCTTAAATCAAATGATTATCATAAATAATAATAAGTACAGTTTTCATTTTTCTTATCATTATTCGCAAGTCATCGAGAATCTTCAACAGTTTTTGTTTGGTAACATTTTTATCGCTTGAATACTTCTTCTTTGATGCAAATGAATTGTAAATCGTTTCCCGTCTCAATATACATTTTTCTAAATCCAACATTATTTTTTCCAATATTTTTTTCAATCTACTTTCCGTTATCTACTTATAGATACAGAATAGTACAAAATATGTAATCAGTATTTACTAATCACTATAATTTAATTATTAAGTTATTAATGTAGGTACCATCATAGATATACATATTATATTATATATGGGTACCAGTGCACCATGTGAAAGTATTGTTATGATACCATGGTCCACGAGAGTACCAGCTCTAACTGTTACATACCACCATTTTATGTATTTCCTTTTGCATGGCATCAATGTCGCCAAAAACACCTTGTTTATTCTTAAGTTCTGCTTTCATTTCGATAAGTGACTGGACATTGGCTTCCCACGATTTACTTTCACGTTGTTTCTCAATGTATGTTTTCTTCATTTCGTTTAATTCATTTTTCAACAATTTCAAATGGTCTATATATTCCAAACACTGTTTTTCATTTTCCTATTAAAATATTTTATGGTTTTTTTTACACTTAATTATTGTAACAAGATATGTGTGTGTTTAAAATAAAACGTATTAAACTTATAAAATAGATACCACGAGGTACACGAGTTTACATATTTTATGTACTATTTCATAAAATGAGGTTTTTCGAGGGATAAATACTTATTTATAATTATTTATACATTAATATGAATTTAAATAGAAAGTACGTAGGTATCATGAATAATAATAATTACATTAATACCTTTAATTCAACCAAAGCAGAACTTTGTATCCATTCATTTTCATTCAATAGTTTACTACTTTTCCCTTTATTTTTGCAAAAATCTTCATTATACTTCACAACTTCATTTCTCATGTTTGTAAGTGTTCGTTTATACTGTTCGACTTCTTTGGATAAAGAAACAATTTCGAGATCGAGTTTTCTATTTTTTTTATAATTTTGCGTATCATCTAAAATATATTATTATTTTATTTTTTTATATTTTTTATAATTAAATAAGTTATTATTTGCCTCAAATAATGGCAAAAATTATTATTTTTATTCAAATATGACCCAACTCAGTATCGGTTTTGCCCACCTGGATACCTGAAGATCTCCGGTGGTGCCTGGAAATTTTTCCATATTGGGTGCTCATAGACAAATGATAAAATGTATACTTAACTCATTTATGAATTATATATGACTATATAAGTCGTAAACAAGGACGGATCCAGGCTAGCTGCGTCCCCTCAAGTCATAAAGTGACTAGGATCTACTGGCTAGTGGCTACTACTGGATGATAGTGGATACTATCATTGTAATAGGTGGCTGCAGTAAGGCCCACTCAAATATTTCGTAAATTTTTTTTTTGAGTTTATTCAATAGTATCAAAAATGTGAGGAAATACGGACGTTTTTATACAAAACCAGTTTTTAACAAAATCAATTTTGTATTTTGGTGTAGGTAACTCAAAAACGATTACCTATCAGTAGGGAGTAGATAATTTTAATTTTCACAACATATTTATATTACATACATTTTCTATACATAATGAAATTTTCAATACTTTTAAATTATATTGATAGGCAACAGAAATGTACGATTTTTAATATTTTTTTTTTTTTAAAGTTACTGTCAATAAATAATTTTTTGCTCTGTCAAAAATTTTGAAAAATGAAGTTTGTATTAACTATTAGGTATGGCTATTTAAAAATATTTATTTATTTATGTTATGTATTAACGGGTATCAACTCTTTTACAAAGTATAAAAAAAACATATTCAGACTATGAACAAATGAATTAATGCCGCCATGCCGAGTTTCATGAACAATCGTCAATCACCAAACATTTAATGAATCAATATTTATAATAGTACCTTAAAAATGATTTAGAGGCTCATAGTCTATTCAATTTTATTGAAATATTAAATTAATCAATTTTTCATGCAACCTGATATAAGTGTAGCAATAGCCAATATTACAAAAAAAAAATAATTCTAGAAATATATAAATAATTCAGACTAATAAGTACAAATTATGGCAAAATATAAACATTTTTTTCCTTTTTTCTGATTAATGAATATCTTTTAATAATATCATTGATTTTGTTTTAAAAATTATTACGAGAAAGAAGAAATATGTCTAAATGCATACACGTTTTATTAGCTAAAATTAAAATTCGAGACAGAAAAGAATTGGTGCCACGTTTTATAATGAAGAACTAAAAATAAATCTGAATTACGTGTAATTAGATATGGAATTCGAAAACTGATTTCAGATAACAGCTCAGGACACATAATGTTATAATTTATAAGTTATAATTATAACTAATAAGATCTAAGACAAACATTATATTAGTTAATTTGGGTCTAAGAGAAAGGGGAACAATATGGCCAATATAATCTTGAGTTAAATGGAGAGAGTCGCTAGATAATAGAATATTTGACAAATATGAAATCCTTTTAAAAAAATTATCTTGAACATTATGGATAATGTTTATGTATCGATGTATTTATGATATCGTTTATGTATGTCAAGTATTTGCTGGAAAAAATTACAGAACAAAACAAAATATGTATAAAATTTTTTTAAACGGAACGATTTCTAAAATCTTTGTTTATCTATTAATAAAGCCTAACATCTTTAACGATTTAATAATTATCATTTTATGATTTGTTTTAAAGAAAGATCACTTTCCAAATGTATGCCAAGATTTTTGATTAAATTTACTCTAGTGAGAAGACTAAGTAGAATATTAAAGTTTAAAAAAATAGGATTCTTGGTTACGTGTAAACGATATATTGATATAATATGACATTTATCAATATTTAACGGTGATTAATTAGATTTACTCCACAAATGAAACTTATTAAGATTCAACTGAAGAGGTTAAAATTTTAAAATTTTAACATCATTTAATGAATCAACTGTACAGATAATCTTCGTATCATCCACAAATAATATAATTTTTGTGTCCAGGGTGAGAGATCATTAATACATATTAAAAAAAGTAAAGGACCTAAATGGTTGTTCTGAGAAACACCTGATAAGAATGGATATTCTTCAAAATCCTGAAAACTTACAAATTATTTTGTTAAACAGGCATAAAAATATAAAATATAAAAGTCTATAACATAACGAATAATAACGATGTTAGTTATTTTATTGTTCTTAATTAAAAAATATTATCCTTAAAGACAAAATGTTCACGTCATTACTATATTAAATATTACTACCTAGGTATAATAATTATGCAATGACATTTTCCAAATATTTAGATTAATATTAAGCTATATTCTTTATTGTCTATTTATAACATCACCCTTGAACCTTATTTATTGTTTACACTATTCTGGGAGAAGGTGGTATTGACTCTAAAGCTAATAACAAATAACAATTACAAGAGTAGAATAAAGGGGCTACAATAAGTGAGGCTACACACACATTATAAAAATGCATTAAGCTACGCCTCTAATAACAATAATATGATATGAAATATAAATATGCTCTATCATAAGAATTAGGTACATAATGTATACAAATACTAAAATAAATTATTGCTTTAATAGCAATATCAAAAATCATATTATGAAATATACTTTATAAAGGCTGACAATATAGGCAATATATATATATAGGCAATCTCTCAAAATTGTTATTCGTATACAGCGATGTATCAATGGATTCAAATTTAACAAATCCAATCGACACTTACAGTGTACAGCAGAGTGGTACCAGCTTGCCCATATTTTTAGTATTTAATTTTATCAAAATTCTTATTGTATTACAACACAGAATTTACCTACTTATTTCTGTGATAATTAAATACTTACAATCACGCATCATATTAAGTTCAATAATTTGTTTATTTTTTTCATCCAATAATTGTACATTTGTATTTTGGTTTTTAATGCAATAATGTTTTATGACATTGGTTTCATTTTCTACATCATTAATTTTACTTCTGACGTGATCAATTTGCATTTGTGGAGTCATAACGTCACCAAACTGAAGTGAAATCAATGTCAAACCGAATGTAGATCAATAAATTATGTTAAAAATATTAATAACTAAATATTGTTGACTTGCTTCATGTTTTTTTTTCAAAGATTCTAATTCTTTAAGTTCCGATTCAATCATCATTGATTTCATTTGAATATCTGAGTATAGTTTCTTCAGTTCAGATTCCAATGAAGAAATGTACACATCTTGGTGGTTAAGATCTGTAGTGAGTTCTTTTATTTGTTTCTCTAAATTATACGTTGTAGTTTGATGTTGTTTTAGTTTTATTTGTTCTACACACATATCGTTCTCAATTTTAACTAACACTGACTCCTATGTTATATTTTGAATAAGCATTATTATTTTCAAGAAAAACATATTATATTATATATAACATAATATTATAATATTACATTCTCATCATTATTTTTTTTAAGTTCTAAAATATTGCTTTTCATTTTTTGACAATAATTGTCGGTAATTGATTTATTGTTAAATTCCTCTAAAATTTGATCTTCATATGCTAATTTTTGATTTGATATGTTGTTTTGTAAACGTAATAATTTATTTAGTTCACTTTGAATAGATTTTTGTTCCTTTATAAGTCATATTTTATTTATTATAAAATTATTATGCAACATTTTATGTATTTGATATTATTACGAAATACATACAAATATCACTTCATCTAAGTTTTCATTTTGGATTTCTGTCATTTTTAATATATTAAAATACTTATCCCTCAAATAATTAAAATTTTCTAAACATGTTTTAAATCCATTTTGTAAATTTATTTGATTTTGGGTAATTTTATTTAAAAAATGGAGTAGTTCATCGTTTTTATTACATTCGGCTTGTGAACTGCGTTTGTAGCTGTAGTATTCTGTTAATAATATATGATATTTATTTTTCTCTTCTCTAAAATATGAAAACAAAGCACTTGTATTATTATATATATCAAAGAATATTAGTCATAATTAATTTAATAATAAATCTTTGTAGTTAGTAAGTAAGTATTATATAATTGTAATTACTGTAAGTCTCTAATTTTTGTCTGAGAACGTTTTTCACATTGTTCAATAGATATTATAACTTCATTCCACAACAATGTGTACTTGGCATTATCTTTATTAATAGCATCAAGGCTTATTGAACTGTCCATAACTTTTTGTCTCAGCAGTTCGGTTTCATTAATCTTTGCCTCTGCTTGTTCGCCTGCTTCTTTAATACGATCTTCCAATCGAAGATTTTCTTGAGTTAGAGACAATAATAACAAATCCTAATCATTATAAGACAATTTATAACAATATTGTATAAATTTTCATACATTATATAATATAATATTAACATGTAGGTATGTGTATATTAATATGTACACTACTAATACCTACCCTTGACGTACAATATCTCAATTCATGAAATGGGTAACTAAATCTATTTACAATATTTATAAATTTTGAACAATATTTTGGACTAGATTGAGCTTGGTTAGTTTAGCTTGTTTCAGAAATTCTGTAAAAAAAATGTGGTCATTGACATGCAATCCTGGGTCTATAATTGTTATTAATTTATTATACAAAAGTACTGGGTGCAATTAATGTTGTGACTCTAATATAGGTCTTCATTGAACGGTGATAAAAGTTGTTAATAGGTATTTTTCTAGCTCCGATATCGTTATACATTTTTTTAGTAGCCACGGTTTTCAGTAGTAATGTAATTCATTATTCTATGTGATATTTATCGAACGCAAAAGTTAAAACTGCAATATTGTGGTTGTAATAATACAATTATACAAATGTACAATAGGTAAGTCATTATAGGTACATAATAGAACTAAATATTAATAAGTAATAACAATTGCCCATTTCACGAACTCGTGAATTTTAAGTATTTTTAAAAAAAAAATTGTCATTAGAATTTTCAAAAATCTGAACATAGTACAATTGGCTGAAGAGATAGAATAGAATATTTATAAGCATATAAACATGATGGAAAGGAACATCCAATGATGGCACTTCGGCGGTGTTATTAGTAATTAATTATATTAGTAAAGATCGCAGGTACTGTGGAAGGCTTAGCTTAAGAATAATCCCGAGACAATTTAGGCTTGAGTCTTCTTGTTGGATTTTCAGGGACTGTGATTGAGGATAAACAAGATATAATAAGAGGGTTTGAGTAATTAAGGAGGCGTTCGTGGAAAGGTGTATACTACACTTAATTTTGGAAACTTCTTTTGTCGTGGGAATTTGTAGGTGTGTGTGTAGGGTAAAGTAGGAGACGTATAGAGGAATTAGTGATGGTTAGTGATTAGTCGGAGTGTTGTACATCTAGGGTGTTAAGTTTATTTATAAAATAGTCAAAAAGTTTTTTTTTGAGATTAAGTAAACATCACCTGTTTTTGCTGGTTGCTTAATAATTTTTTCTTATACTGTTTTGCTTGATATTTGTTTTGATTACACATATTAAATATAATTTCCTGTTCTTTTTCATGCTTGGAAAGCTCGTTCAGAAATCTACGACTATATTCTAACTGTCTTTTTAAAACCGAAACTAGTCAGAAATAAATAAATTGTAAATAAGATACAAGATATTTTTTTTTAAAGCGCACGTTTTTTCTCTTTATCTGCGGTTTTTGCCAAAATATCTTTGTGACGTTGTTTTTGTTGTTCGATATTTTTTTCCAACTTTTCGTTTGCTGTTCCCAATTCCTCTTTCATTCGGTGGAAATCATTCAATAGGGTTTGCTGTGCTTTAACTCGACTGTTTGCAATATTTATCAGATTGATGGTCGAAGAATTTTCTTTCTCTTTTGTTTTAACGACCATACTCTGATACATTCGTTTGAATTAATTTGAAACCATTTAAGTGAAAATTTTAATTAATTATCATTTGAGTTCAGAATTAGTATTGAATAGTATAAAAAATTAAAAAATTAAAAAGTATAATATGAAATTGTATTTTTTTGTACTGCTCTAGGTATGTTAAATATATCATCATCTCATGTGATAATGATAATACATAATATTATGAATCATTTAAGATTTATATGTTAAAAAATAAAATTAAAAATTTGTCTTTAAAATTGGTCAATGTTTTGTACGTAATTTAAGTGCAGAGTTTCTTAATGACGCGTAAGTAAAATGTTTATATTATTCTTACAAGAGTTAGTATTTCTTTTTTAATATTTTCCGCTTGTTTCAACAACTGTAACTTCAATAAATTTTGAATTTTCGCCATGAGAGGATTGTCCGATGCAAGTACAATTTGTTGGTTTTTTAATGCATTATTCATCGATTGAGAGGTCGAGGTTCCACTAATTACACTTTCAAACTTGTTAAGAGTAATATCACATTCAGAGCTATTTTTATATGTTTCTGTTGCTGTCCCTTAAACATGGTTGAAATAATTACCAAATTTTTAATCTATTCAAATAATTATTTACTATAATTAAACGCGAAACGCCTATATAATAGTTATAACTTATTATAGGATAATCTAGTGTAGAATAGTAACTATTTTAATTCTATTAATATTATTATTATATTCAAATCTTGTTAGAGATGGAGGATTGCGAATTTCTATATTTTTAAAATATTGTTGATTAGGTACAGTTGTTGTTTTCCGTAGTACGATAACGTAATATATCACAATCTATATATTATGTTAAATTGTTTTTAGTCACCAATCAGATTAGAACTGCTATTAGTTTCCTGCTTATATTCATGAGATGCAAATTTATTGGGATCTCCAACATACATGACACTTGTATTATCATTTTTAATTTCACTGAGCATCTCCAATGGTTTTTCTTCACCCGTTAGTATATCATTTTCTAATTCAATCATAACTACTACGTGTCCTGAAATTCCACCTTTAACTAAGTTATGAGCATTAGTTTCGAAGATGTATCACAATAACTATTATAAGTATTATAATATATATGATTTTTAAAACATTGTGTTTATTATACTATGGCAACTATTACCTACTAGTTATACAAATATCGTATGTAATTACAATTGATTGTCAAAGTTTGAAACATAAAATACGATGATGTTCAACAACAAAATGACTAAAACTTTTAAATGTAGGTAGAGAAACGAAGTAGTCCATAATATTGACTATTGTGATTTGTGGTGTATCTATATTCTATATTCTATATCAGCGGTTCTCAACCTTTTCGAGTTCGTGACCCCCTATAATGTCACCAAGATGTACAACGACCCTTTTACAATGTAAGCATTAAAAAATTGAACCAACTGTTATTATTGTATTTTTTTTGTGTATATATCTTACAAAAAAAGGTATATTATGTACACTTCAATGAACGTTTTTATCGACTATCGAACTATCCAAAAAAAATATATATGTATTACAACACTTACTATTAATTATAATATTCCAAGCGAAACAATTATTTTCCCACAGGATTGACGACCCTAAAATAATTGTTGGCACCCCCCGGTTAAGAATCGCTGTTTTTTATAACAAATAATAATATCTTATAAAATTCAGTCACGGATATCTTTGGAAATGTAGATATACAGAGTGATTCATCAAGCATGATCACCCCCCTCCATTTTTTTAAAATTTTAATTATGAATTTATTCAAACTCTGATATTTAGAATTTTTAAATATACTTACTCGAACATAATTGAAATTCTTAAATTTTTTAGTGCTACATAAAGAACGTTCTTTGATAATACAAACTTCTATTTTTCTAACACCCTTTTTTACTGTATATCATTCAGTCGAAATTCTACTCATATTAAAAATATTTGTATAACATAGAGACAACGTAATTGCAGTATTATTGAAGTTTTCATAATGTGCCGATGTATGAAACGTACCCTATATTTTCGTGTTATCATAAAACGAATAAAGAGTAATTAATCATAATTAATTAATGACTGCACCTAGAAATGCCAAACTTAATCTAAGTAAACTTAGATATTATAGAGAATTTATATTTTAAGTTTCACGAAGATTCGTTCCATATTTTCGGAGAGGATAGTAGTATAAAATAAATTGCATATGGAACTAGGGATTATAAATAAGGGCTACACACCTACACTTTGCTCCACCCCTAACATTGTTTAAAATAAAATCTATATTCTTTGTTTCAATAACCAACTTTACGCACTTTAAACTTAGAATATCTACAAAAAAAAATTGTCATAATATCATATTTTTCAGACTATTGGGTTTCGGTTAAGACGGCTTGTGAAAAACCAAGTTTCAATTTTCAATCTCTAGTTACCTATAGCTAATTGTACATTTTATATTATTTATTACAAAATAATTTGAAAGTTGTCTTGATATTATCAAGGTTATCATCATTTCATATGCTCATAAAAAAAAAACGGGAAAGTTTATAACACACTGCTGTACATTAGGTGTCTAGAGAAGTCAAGTGTACAATGGATGTGTTAAATTTGAATTCAATAATTTAAAATCATTGTACCAGTACGAAAAACGATTCTGTGCGAAGACAGTCGGTCGGCCTATAATATATTAGGTGCAAAGTTTATTTTATGATATTATTGTGATTAAAGTAATTTATTTCACTATTAAGTATTACTGTATTATACATTAGTGCTACAGTAGGTGAAATTATTTTTTGCCTAAAAAATTTAATTAAAAAATGTCATTGTGTGTTTAAATTATAATAAAATACTTTCAAGTGTCCACGAATAATAATTTTAAATTACAACAAAATACCTAACTAAAATCGTTTTTCTTTGTTTAAATATACAATATCGTTCAAATTTAAACTTAAAATATTTATAAAAAAAACTGGGTGTCTGTGTTTGTTTATTTTTTTAGACTTTTTGGTCACAGTATGAAGTATGAACTATTTATGAGAATCCTGGTTTTAAATTTTCAATCCTTAGGTATAAAAATTTATAAAATGATCACCTTTTTTAGCTAAAGATTGAAAATGTAAGACAAGGTTCCACTTAAGTAGTTAATCCTATAACCAACAATCTAAAAAATACTAAATTAACGCATTTTTTTCTTAAGTTTTTTTTTTTCAATAAAGTATTTTATATCTGGTCAGTGGTCACCCTATATATATTATAAGTAATGTTAAAATGGGTATAATCGTTGGCGACCGACCAAACCAGTCAACCCACCTGTAAAAAATGAACTGTTTCAACATAGATACACATAGATAATAAAGAGATATATATTATATCTATATTATCTATGAGAATGCATGATAAACTCCAATAGCCTATCCATCTCTTTATTACCTATGGATAGAACGACTACAGCAAAAACAGCACAAAAAAACAAAAGTCGTACGGTGTGTGTGGTACAACCTTAGATCATATAGTGTATGATCTAAGGGTACAATAACAGACCTGACGCGAGCGTATAGTACAAAGTGAACGGTGAACGAGATGACCGAGTGGTTCATCAAAAGTGAACTAGTACGAAACCGGTCACTTGGGTGATTAGTCCAATTGAACTAGTTCGTTCATGAACGACACATCTCTACGAGTGTATATGATCTAAGATTCAAAGCATAAACGAATAATTAAATGGCGTACTATTGTATTTTAAATTAAGGCGGGATGTTTATATCACCACAGACTACAGCTGCTGTTACCGCATACATTGATCATAATGGACCAAGTTTACACAAAATGGCTAGACAAGATAACCATCATGGGGATCTTATTAACCGGGGATCTAGGTGATACACCACCGTATAGGAGTGTCCTATCCAATTTTATATTTTCTTTGACAAGATTGATTATGGTTCAAGATGATAGCAATACAAATATACAATACAATAACAATATTGTTCAGAAATAATTAGGAATTGCGTATTTACAGTGCCAGACGCCAGTCTACAGTCTTTAAAACAATTTTGCAAGTTTACTTATTGAAACCAACGCAACTTAAGACGTCTACCATCATCTGACCCAATTTTCAGGTAAGGCAATAACCGAGACTGTCATATAGCTTGTACTAGAGACTAGAGAGTCTTAAAAAGTTTATTATTAAGATTATTATCTAGCTTGTACCTACGTCAATATTAATCTTGTAGACACCAAACATGTCAATGCCTAATTAATGAATGACGTTTAATCCTACTTGTCACAATATGACAGCTTTTAGTGTTTATTTTATATGTCTTTGATCATAAACGATACCTGTCCTATTTAACAATTATTCTTATCAGTCGTTCAACTAAAGTCCGAATTGTTGTGTCTGATGAAATGTTACTGCTTTCAGACCGATACTCGTGAGTACAGGTGTTACAGCAGTCATGTGCTTGGAACGGAGCCACAATGACATCTGTAATAGATTTTTGGAGCCAGTTCCCATGAATGACACCAGAGACGAGTTTGGGCCTAGTGAATCCGACATGGAAATCGATGAGCGTGTCAGGTACAACTTGTTGCTGCCCAACGATGAAGATGAGTCGGTAATAATTTGTTTTATGTTACAACATAACACAGCATTTTGATACCTTAATGCTTAGTACTTAATGTGTAATATCACTGGATAGGTACATATTAAATATTTATCCAAAGTTCATTTTGATGAATTCTAATAGTATTGAGCTTCAACACATAAGACTTATGGCATATTCTTTTTGTGCTATCACAATATTTATATTTTAAATGTAGTAATGGATTTGGGATATGAAACTTGTACTTTTAAATATTTTTGATTGCCTCACTGCAATGTTTACATAACAATAAGCTATAAACAATTATAATTAATTGTAAAATTAGGATTATTAGGCACTTCTAATTTTCTAAATAGTTTCTACATTATTTAATTAATTATTTAACAAGCATGAAGCCACAATAAAGATTGAAAGTAAATTATAATTGAATAATGTGACTGACAATGGTAATAACAAGAATAATGAATAATAGCTTAGGTGCTCATTTCTCAGTCTTTTCAAGACACTAGGGTCACCCGCAGTGGTGGTCAAACATAAAGAAGATAGATCTCCCATGACCTTTTTTTCAATATTTATATGTAAGAATCAAATTGTAACTATAAACTTTATTTTTAATAATCGAATAGTGTATGCTAAAATATCAGCCACATCCGTCTCTCCTTCGACATGGCAAAATCATTTGACTGGTTGCTTGCCTTATAGATTGTGAAGTTAACAATTTTTATCAGAAGTTATTATATTATTAATATTGCATTTGACTTTATTTCAGGAGACAGGCTACATAAGCAATATGGAGGACAGTGATGAAGATGATAACTATACTCATTCGAGTACCATTCATGACTTAACAAATGAAATAAATCAAAATTCTTACTTACCGAGTGTATCAGTAAGTATTTTTATTATTTTAAAAATATTGAATATGTATTTGTAACATAAGTTATTATGTATAATATAGAATATTTGGGAAACTAACAATACTGATCAATCTAGTGAAGACAGAGAATTTGATTTGAATATACCACAAATATTGTTATCGATGGCCAGAGTATCACAGAATTTGGACACTATAATTTCTGCCCATCTCGTCAACTCGGCATCTCGTAATTAATTAGTCTTATGTATGTATACTATAATATTGTTAAATTTAATAAGTATTCTGTACATTTTCATTAAAAATATACTTTAGTTCAGTAAAATTATTAACTGTTTAAAGGAACATTTATAATTATATTATTAAAAATTAAACCCTTCAACAAGGTGCATTTGATTTTAACAATTGTACAACGTTAATTAAATAAAATCCGATCAATGCTCCTGCTGTTGATCCAATTTGAGTGATGCAACCATAAAGAAATAGTCCTCTGTTACCTTTGTTTCGTAGTACTGCAGCTATTGACAATTTAACATAAGAAGCACATCCAAAAAATAAAGTCCACATAAAAACCTAGAAAATAAAAAAACAACATTAGTTTTTAAAAAAAAATTATGTAGATATACGTATTTTATTGTAATATTAAATTGTTAGGTATAACTTATAACTAGAAACCAGAATTATATGCACTATATTATTATTAGCACTAAATGTGCTAAATATGATGCAGATATGCATGGTAAATGAAAACGCCACAAACGTCCAACATGTGATTGTGACTACTTGTCATTGATGATTCTTTCAAACTCTCCCTTTAATTCCTAAATCGTTCGGTATATGTTTATGTACCTACACTCTCTACTTTAAAAATCACTATAAATAGAGATTAAGAGGTTGCAGGATCTATCGAGCCCCATTCTTGATTGACAAGTAATGAGATTTCCTTAGCGTTCATCTGCTCAATAATGGAAATAAAAAATATCAACAAACACTTCACGAAAAAAACTGTATTCAACTTTTGAGCATTAAATGCTTATTTTTCATAATTATGCAGTTCTAAGTACAACACACTCCTACATTTGAGATTTTTCATTCCTCATTTTTAATAAGGAAAAAGAGAAAAGCTATCCTTTTTTTGGCGGTTATTTAATCAAGTGGTACGTGAACATTTTCAAAATAGTGTCGTACTGGTTGTGGACATCAACATATAATTCCTATTTTTTTACTTACGATCAAGACTGTTCCAGCTGTCGAATTTTGTAACGGGGGCGACGAACTCATAAAGGCGGTCATCAGCATGTACAATGTGGACACGAAACAAATGCCACACAGCATGTAAATTACGGTTTTGGACGTTCGATTCGTGTAATAGGCGACGAAGCAAGCCACGGGGTTGGCGATATTTGACAGGTTTGTCGCGAAATGGTACGCCATGTATCCGTATGGCAGACACGAGAACGATTGGATGCTGGGCAACAGTCCGTTGGCAAAGAACACGATGGCGCCTTGGACGGCCAGTAGCGCAACGTTCAGACGACGGCTGCGGTTGTCAGTGCCGCCGCCGCCGATCGTCTGGTGGCCGTCGTCGTCCGGCGGCGTCCGAATCTTTTCTTTCTTGCAGGTCGGCAAGTACTCCAAGCACAGGTACGACACCGTGCTCGCGCACATTATCGCTCCGATGCCGACGAAAAACGGCCCAGAGGAGAAGAGCGCGTCGGTCGTCGACTTTTCCTCAGAAACCTTTCCGTCTGGCCCCACTACCGTCCGACAGGTGGTGGTGCCCACGCCCTGGACAATTGCGACCGCGCTGGGCACGAAACCGCTGATGCCCTCGCCAACCATGTACGTGACCAGGTATATGTCCGGATACCGGGCCAATGATGGTATGAACAGGACGGAACTGGTGCACCCGACCAGCGCCACGGCGAACGTGAGCACGCAGAGGACGACGCTGTGCGGTTCGCCAAACACGACGCCCGTCACGTCATAGAACCGAGCCAACAGGAACACGGACGCCACGCCGAAAACGAGCACGGCGATGGTCAAGGGCCTGTCGTACCGGTTGCCGTATCTCCGGCGCCAGGCGCCGTACAGTAGCGGGCCCAGGTTTCCGGTTTGTATGGCGATTGACAAGTAGGAAGGCAAGTTCCATCCCTCGGGCGCGCTCTGCACGAGCAATGGAAGCTGCGTGTACAGGCTGTTGACCAGTATCCAAGCACCCACTCCGAACATGCACGTCAACAAGTCCAGAAACCTGTAGATGGACAAACAAAAACAATCATAATTATACGTATATGATGAAAGTTTAAGTATATGTTAACCTTAACGATATGTATATTTTAAACAGGCGTATTAACTATTAGGCACCATAGATGCTCCAGAACTCATATCCTCCAACGGGAGTTCTCGTATCCTTTCCTTTTTTTCAGAATTACTCCCCCTTCCAAGTACCAACCTACAAAACATCCTATATATGGACATAACCACGGCCTTACATAGAATGTTTCGTAATCTAAATAATCTTAATTTTTATTTTAATTTGCGTAATTAAATGTATTAGTTATAAGTTTACTATAGAATTGTAGTACAGAAGTATATTACCATTTCATTTATACCTAGTCGTATTTGCTACATGTTCTGTGTTAAAAATTCAAAATAACTATTAATACTATTATATTATATTTAATTAATTATTAAAATAAAATAACTATTTAAATCTTGTGTACTAAGTGTAACCTTACACTTAAATTTAAACTGTGTACTCTAAATTGCCGATTCGCGTTTATAAAAAAATAAATTATTATAGGTATTTCTTTAATTGCCGGATGCCTAGCCATCCCCTGTAAGAGGTTTAATATAGGCTATCTTAAAAAATAAAAATAATTACAATCTCAAAACGAAAACTTACCATTTTCTCTCGACGATAGAATTAGTTTCCAAGCTGTACACTTTCATTCGTTTATGTCTTAAATACGTATTTTCATCGGCTCTATAAAAAAATATACAGAATCAGTAATATAAAAAAAAATTGTTAATCTTATCTAATATACTTACATAAGCTTTTTTAATTAGAAATTTGATACTTTAAATTTATTATTTTTCTCAACATGATTTATTGTACCAGCGCAATATAATATAGTATAAATATGCGTTATGCAAGCGTATTAAGGTTTTCCGCTGATAGTGCCCGACAGGAATTCGTTTCTCAAATTTGTTTTTGTTTATGTGAATAATACTTAAATACTATAGGTACCTCCTATAATACATTATTAATACTATAGGTTTAAATAACGAATATACTTATCGAATAATTTCCAATTAAATTATAACCATATAAATACATTACCTACCTATATTCTGTACCTATAGTTTAATAGATAATTTCGTATACAGAATATTAATTTAACATTGCACAGTACACATGCTTGCTACGAAAAACCCTATTATTCGTATTTTATTACCGTAATAACTATTCGGCATTTTGCAAAGTTCGATAAAAATAGTTGTCGACTCTGAGATTGTAAAACGTAGGTATTAGATTTCCAATCGAATAACAAATTGTAGCCTTTTATGTATTCATAATAGCTATTCCGGTCGATTCAAAAAGTCTCATACTTCGTTGTATACAGTTCCTACACGGCTATACCTGCCAGACCAGGATTTGGAAGCACGTCATCGAAATTATTATGCAGCACTCGTGATATATATAATTGACCTGGCGGCGGCATGGTACATCGCTCCATCCCAAGACTACTACAAATAAATAACAATAAACTATACTCTAATAATTTTTGTATTTCATTTATAGTTATGTAATAGTTTACTCGAGTTGAAGTCGTTGTATAGTAAATTAGGATGATAACAGCGAGTATATTGCAGACTAAGAGTCGTCTTAATTACGTGATCGGCCGCCGTTCCGAAATATAAAAACGTTATTGAGTTGCAAGTTTATATAATTAATGTATACGAGCTTTTTAAAATATTTGGGATTTCCATCCCGGATTGGCCCTCAGATACGTAGGTTTTCTGTATAGCGTCCCGTTATCCCGATATAAGTGTTTCGGAAGCAAACTTCAATCATTGTAATAATTGGTAAAATAATGAAATTGATTACTTGATTGACTGACAAAATCTATTCTTAAATTATTTTTGTTGCGCCTGAACCGAATAAGTTAAATGTTAGATGCCGGTTATTGCAGATGGTAAATTACACTTTTTCTCTCTTCGCAGAGGGTGGGAAAATGTAAATCCCCACTATGGAAATATTAATGTCCAAAGCAGACTAATATACTAGGACGTATATCGATACGTTTCATCTATTATACCAAAATATACTATTGGTTACTATCCCGTGCCGTTCTATGCGAAACCGTTTGGAAAATCTAATATTTAAATATATCAAGAACAGTTCGTTATGGATTACCATGATATTGATATAACTGATATAAGATACGTTTTCGAAGGGGATGGCAAAAATAGTAAGTGTTGCTCGTGTGGGAGAGCGATTTCAGTTTTGGACAATTTTCAACCCTCGACTGCGGCTCGTGCCGCAAACGTCGCCCTCAACCAAAATAGCTCACTTCCGCCCGTGCCACACAAAACAACTAATATTTCCGGATCGGTGACGACTGTTATATTGATTATAGACGAATACGTTCGTTTTCCTGTTCCCTCGCGGTATTTCTTATCGTCACATACCTACAATTATTAATTGATAATTTGTTCTGTTTTCCTCATTCCGATTTGTAACGTTGAGTTTTTTACCTTACACTAGCGTATATATCGTAGAATGCTTACCACCCTGTGTGAATGACGTGTGGTATTCCAATAACGAAAAAATAGTTTATTATAAAAACTGTTGGTTGATCGTGGAAAGTAGCTAGATTTTTCCCATACAAATTACACAAAAAATGTTTGTCCCGGTCTTAGCAAAATACAATATGTCGACTTCAAAAAATATATAACCACTCTATACCGTGTGAATAAGGTATATCTTATCGTATTTTGATAATTACTTGAAAGTTGAAATGTATCATAGACCAAAAAGTTAACATAATACATACTATGCATATTATTATAATAAATATAGATGATGTTTTTTTTTAAAACTTGAGCCGCTTATCAAGTTCAGCTCAAAGTATTGAATTTTTGTATTTTATGATGAAAAGGTATTTAATATAAAAATGTAACACCTTTTTTTTGAAAAAATAAATTCAAATATGGTTTAAGTAGCAAACTACTTTTAATGAACCACAGTTATGTTTTCGTGTTCTGGAGTGCAATTGCTTATAGAAAATTACATTTAAGAAATATTTAATTATACTGCGAATTATTTTGATGAATAAAATTAATTTCAGATTATCGCCATTGCCACTTCTAGCTCTTATCTTAGATTTAAGCGATTCTATAAAAATTATAAGAATAACAAGCATTGTGCTTAAAGGAGGTAGATACTTTATTGTAAACATTTTAATAATATGTCAAACATCTTATTTATATTTACAATAAAAATTTTCAAAAAAAAAAAAAAAAACTTTTAGTTAAATATTTTCATGATATGAAATATGAATATAAAACAGCGTACTATAATAATTATTAATTATAGAGACAAATATATATATATATATATATATATATATATATAAGAAAAATACACATACCGATAATTGTCTATTGTCTATAATACTCTATTGCACTAAAGTCTATACAATCACGTAACAGCTTAGTTAATGGCTAAATAATTAAGTTTTATTTTTATCTTCGAAGTAGGCACATACTTTGTATAGCGATTAGACATACGATAAGGAATATAAAATGTTTGTACAATTGTATTAGGTATCTTATTAGTTTTTATAACGATTAGCGATTATCACGTTTTAAGTTTTTAACCATTCAAAAGAAAATTGTTAAAATTTCAAGAAGCTTAAGATTAAAATTAACTATTTTAAACAAATAATAGACAATAATACATTTTAGTACCATACGTATTTCCATTTATTATACCTGGCATTAGTAACTATCTATAACTATGTTTAAATAATATTATCTCACTACCTATCTCTTTAGGATTTAGGAAATAATGTCAAGTTTCAATGCTAATCATACTATGAAATTATCTGATATGGCGTCATGGCGATATAGTTACCGGTTTGTTCAACTCACAGTTATTGCAGGTAGGTCAGGCGTGTCTCTTATATACTATGATGTATAATAAATAATAATTATTACTGTACACTCAAAACTGAAGTACAAATTAAAAACGTTTCAAAATTAATTCAACTTATTACTATTTATTTTACTCTCGACGATCGAGTGGTTGACAATTTAATGTTTTCGAATGTCACTGAACACAAATATAATAAGTAGACTGTCAGTAGTTGCCAGTTGCAATGGTACGCGCAGTAACAGTGATATTGTAAGATTGTAAGTACATAATTTATTATATTCGCTCAATTGATCCCTTCTATTAAATCGCGTAAAAAAAATACAATTTAATTTTATATATAACTATTATATAACGTCTATGTATATTTAAGAGGCTCACTTAATAACAATATTTACACTGCGTGTGAATGTGAAAAATACACATGCAGTCAAACGAAACCGAACCGATTAATTACGTTGCCGTAATTTTATAATATTGCTCGATTTGAATTCACTGCACAACAATAACAGATGAAAAAAAAACGCCGACGAGCGGAATGCGATTTTTTTTAACTCATTAACTTTCTTCCGTGAATAAAATCGGCCGGTGTGCCTATATACAATCGATTCGAACCGCAGTTACTATGCTTACTAAACGGGTGAGCTCGGGTTCTTACTTCTTCCACGGGACCTGTAGACACATAATATCCTATAACGTCCCCCCACCGAGCGATCGTTGTTCATTATATCGAAATATAACCTAGGTATTATAGGTAGGCAGGATTATAATTTGTATAGAAAAAAAAAAAATGTTCACCGAGTAGGTAGTCGTCCAAGGTATCGTCGTCTACATTCCTATCAGTTATTCGTACCTATTGACCGAGGATTGTTAGATGTAAATTGTAATAACACACGTCATATAAGCAGTAAGCACCTATCTTATGTAGGTAGATCGTCAACGGTTCCATGCGCTGGAGCAGTACAGATTCGCCTTGAAGATCCAGCGAATAATGGTATATTATAGCATTTAGTACCTATAGTAAAAGTTCAAGTTTGTCTCAATTAATGTAGGTAATACTTGTTGAGTTTTAAGCGTCCGACGGGTGCAAATTTCATTATTCAAGTTATGCGTTTCATTAACACGGTGTACTTACAGCAATTGCAATTTGCAGTAAACGGATGTGTAATTATATCAGAGCTCGTAAGTTCATGCATTTCAGAATTTGCATATTATCAACCTTGTCATAAGGCGTATTATTGTATTAAGTGGTAAGAATGACAGCGAAATTCGTTTTTTGGGGTCGGGATTCAATATACGAAATCGAATTTTGTTCCCACTGCAGAATTTAAAACTATCGTCAATAGTATTGATGTAAAACTATATAAGTATTAAGTGTCCAACCAAATTTTTAATATCTCTGTCTGGGAACTTTAAAAATACTGTCAATATTTTATAGAATACAATAATCATACGTAGGTGGTTAAATTTTTTTTAAATAACGTTCGACCCGCAAGTCTAATCAAAACAAATAAACAAATAATCTGCTTATTCATAGAAGCTTGAAATCACTAATATTAAGGTGAGATTAGGTTTTGTTGATAAATTAAAAAAATAATTTGATATCATTTTTTTTCTTGTCTATTGCATAACTATAGGTCTTATACTAGTTATACTACATATCTAAGTGCATATTTTAATATTTATAGGCGCATACTGACATAGGTTTGGCAAACGTATTTTTTACATACATTTTGAATAAAATCCGTCAACATGACGTTATCGACTGGTAGGTATGTATGTGTATATAACACATAATACGGTTTCTCTTCGTTGCTAATAGACCTATTGTACGTATGTGTTTAATGTACGAATCGCCGTTGATCAATATAGTACATGAATTGATTATATAACATAATAATTAATATTGTATATTTAAAAGACTACAAAATCGATTTAGATACGGCCGTCCGCGTGTTGATTATGTAATATAACTAATATAAGGTTGCTTATATTAATTTAGCTATATAGAAACAATTGACACTAATTAGTAATTACCTACTGATATAACATTTTACAATAATAATTATGTATCTATTATGTATAAATTATTGTTTTCGAATGCGGAGAACGACTATAATACGGAACTTACTCGAAATACTCATTATCAAAATATATTAGGTACACTGTGCAGCGAATGATAAGAATGATAACGCTCACTCAGGTGATAACGTCGTTATATTACAGCCGGGCGCTCCCTCCCAATACCATTATGTTCCAATGAACATGTAAAATTTACCTACTCGTTGCAGCTATATAGAGTTGTACACGTGTAAGCAGTAATAGTAGTTGTAGACCTCAAAATATCAGGTTATTTTGACCGTCAATCGTCATCGTCTTAAAAACGCGGAGTTTTTTTTTTCATTACGAGGACCTCGAATCGCGTAGTTTCAACGTCTTATGTAGGTTACCCACTGGCTACCATAGTTGTCGGGCCTCAAAAAAAAAATATTTTTTTTTCCTAATACTGCTGTATAATATTTTTTATGTAGGTACCTTCCTAAATACTGACTTTATACTACGCGATAAATTCATACTCGTTATAAGTATTTGAATACATTTAAAATAAAAAATCCTTTTAGAGTGATTGACTATAATAAAGTATAATTATACCTATCTGATAAAACAACACAGTATACTTGATGCTAAATCTACATGCAGGGAGGGGATTTGTCAGCTGTTGACCAGTTTCTGCTCAATTTAATAAAGACCTATTTAAAGTATGCACAAAAAAAACTTACGATGAATAATCTCGTTCCCGAACAGTGCGTATTTGAAATATTTCGTAAATTAATTTTGATCTGCAATCGGTGTGAAGTTTATTGGAAAATATATTTAATACTTTTACAATGAAGTATTTGAATACTTATTTGAAATATATTTCAAAAATCAATGCAATGACGATTGACGATGATGATATAATATGTAATATGTGTATATGTGGATATATAGATCACCCATCTATAATTATTGCACATGAAGTGCATATGTATATATATATACATATACATTTCAAGTATTGCATAAGCATTGGTAACGTATATTTTATTTTGAAGTGTCCGTTTGCGTGACGACTGTATTTTACATTTATATACCGGGGCACCTACACTGTGATCCCAAACATTAAACACAACTACAAATGGGTAAAAACGCGTTTGAGATTTTAATCATTATAATATACGATATACCTATGGATGGTGGTAGTAATTGTGCAATATATTATAACATAGTATTAGTTAGGTGTAGGTATCTATGTAACATAATATTATAATAATTACTATTATTATTATTATTATCGTAACGTTCATTTCGGCGTATACTCACTCCATGGTATAGTAATAATATTATGTCGTTTGGCCGGCGGGTCAGCTGAATGATTCTGCTCTATCGGTAGACCTATATTTATAGCTCGCACATAATATACTATTGGGTACGGTACACAAATGTATACGTGCGTCGCTCGCGTGTGCGTATAGTAACCGGTACGGTAAAAATGATTAATAACAGTATGAAAAACAAAATACGAAATTTCGTCCAGCACTGAGACTTCGGTGGCAGCAGTACGCCCAGACAATATTATTGAACATGTGTGGGCATTATGAGATGACAGTATTATTGTTATTTTAATACGATGCCGACGGACCGCGCGTAATGATTGTGATATTTTGTAGGAACAATGATTCGTACGGTTGACCGATCGCTGTTTCGCGGCGGCAATACTGAATACACGACTGATGCGCAGTGAATGTTGTATACTAATACTATATACACCGCCGCGAACGTCTTTCATTAAAATATATTATATATACGTGACCGAACACGACGACGACGACGACGACGACCGTCGCGCAAAATCTCATTTTCAAAACGGTCCGGTGCGAGTGATAAGGGAGACGTAACTACTTGCGCTTATCGTTGCACACGTGTGTCGTGTGTGCGCGTGCGTTAGCAGCCCATAGGCCATAGCTCTTAGGTATTTTGTACCGCAGTGTCTCTCTAGATGTCGACATTCCCTCGTCTGTACCGATCTATTTAGACGGATTTTACTCTTTACGGTAGGTATGTATTTATTTTCGGCCCAATAATAATAAATCGTTAACAATGGTGTGAAACCAACCGAAACGAGCGATTTTTGTTCATCTCGGTTGCGGGCTGTGAACAGTTTTTCAAAATCAAAAACCTCACGAGACACAGTAGTTGTGTGCAAACGCTCTGTAGC